TTCCCTTACCCCTTCCACAGTGAGAAGACATCAGAAAGCAAGTTCTCACTAGACACTGATCTTAGACTTCTCGTCCTCCAGGACTGTAAGAAATAATATTCAGTGTTTATAAGCCACCTAGTTGACAGTATTTTGTCACAGCAGCCCCGATGGACTAAGGCACTCCTATATCCTTCAGCATCTTTGGTAGATGTTTCTCTATTCTCTTTATCTAGTCAGAACCTGGCTGTCCCTTAACAAAGCATACTTCCTAAGTAGTCCTCTGGAGAGGTGGCTATTTTTGCACCTACAACTTAAATACCAATATATTTCAAATGATAAACTGCAATCCATTAGTGAGTTGTGAAACTAATTTAGTGGGCAGTAACTTTTTAAATAAAGTAATAGAATAGAAACCAACAGCATATATTGCATGTAGTTAAGGTGAGTATTGTTTCATGACAGTTTTTTTTTTCAGCTATATAAATGATAGCTTTACACTATCTGAGGTAGAAGTAAAATGTTCCATTTGCTTTTGATGCTGCCTCAAGTACCATTTCCCTCTTCCTCCATAAATAATGTCCTGTACCTTTGAAGCACTTGCCATCAAACCACCGTACACAGTACTCTTCCTTGTTATTATCACGTAACATATCCTAGTCATTCTCCTTTTTTCATTAAAGATTCCCTCAACTGGCTTGCTGTCCCGCTCTCTGTAACACCATCATCATTCATGGTGACCTCAATATCCATGTGGACAATTCCATCTTATGCCCTGGGTTAGATTGTACAAGTGTGATTATTAAAATACTGAAATATTTTCATAGTCACTGGTGCCTCCAGGACCAACACCATAGGCTACAACCATTTTGATGGATCCATGTCCATGCTAGTATTGAGAGTTAAGTACTTGAATACTATCCATGCTGACACCCTAGCCTCTTAGCTCCTTGACTTTCTCTTACCTGAATTGACCTTGTCCACCACTTTGGCCATTCACATTTACAGTCTTATCCTATACCTAGTTTTCCCAACAACTTCAACCCTTCCCTATCTCCAGTTCAAGCACCCCCTCTACCACCTTCAACTTCAGTTCATTTCATTCTAACCAGTTTGTCTACTTCCCTAAGACTCTTGAGTAAAACTGATCTTTCGTCTTATGTTTGACTGTCCATCACCCTACTAAAGTCCTCTTTTTAATCATTATGCAGCTTCAATTCTTAGGTCTTACAATTCATTGCACTTTTACTATGCATTCAATTGTTTATCTATATCCTCTCATCCTTCAGAGCAACCCCACCAAGTAGGTATAATGGCATTCATTTTACTGGTTAGTAAACAATTTTATATACATAAATCTTCCCAAGATTATAGAAAGTGGAGGTTCTACAGTTGAAATGTCTGAACCACTATTTCCTTAACCATAGACTAGGAGTAATTTATCTCTCTGAGTTGTGAAGATCACATATACAAAAAGTACTTTGTAAAATGTGAAGTGCTCTACGAATGTTAGTTATAATTATTAATTAATGACTAGGGGGCCCTTACCCTTTCTCTACATAGGAGCCCTAATCTGAAACTTCCCTCAACCCTTCTCTCTCCTTTATAGTCATGGGCATAGAAGAAGTAAACATCTCCACTGACCTGTTGGTAGAAAATTCATCTCTGACACCAATATTCAAAACTTTGAATGGAAGAAAAGCAGTGTCATAAGTGGTGGTTAGGTTCTAGTTAGCAACAGAAGGTATGGTTCCATTATGGCCAAACAGGCTTTTATAAGCTAAGCTGATAATTCATTACAATCAACTGACTGATAAAGGATCTCATAACACAATACTAAACTGGTAAATACCTGCATTGTACTTTCTTATTCAAACCACAGCAGAACAGGATTTCAGAAATGAAGAAGCCAAGACTCATAGGCAAGAGACTGAGCCTCTTAAGGTCTTTCAAAGTCCTACAGAGAACTTGAAACCTTAAGTGCCTGGGAACTCTCCCTGAGCCTCAGAAAGAACACTGCTGTGTCCTAAGGCACTCTGTATTCCACACACTAGAATCTGGCTATGGGCCCAATTCATCTCATTCTGTGGTTCTGAACTCTTATCAGTAGGGCAGCCGCAGGCCACCAGATTTCCTTAGAATGACATGATTAGACCCATCAGGTATATTGCTTTCTTTTAACACTAAATATAATGACTCTCTATTACTTGACATGGCAAATAAGACTTACTATTCTTATCTTCCTATCAATTTCCTCATTTCAGCTCTCCTCTACTCTAGATAGACACCCCCCATCTATGTTCTTCATCCCACAACATGACACGGCGAGTCCATTTCTGCCTTCTGATTCTATCCAAGCAGTTCTTCCTACTTTTTCCATCAAAACTGATCTTGAAACTTTTCCACCGGAACGTTTTTAAAAGATGGAATTATCTATCTGCAGCTCACTGCATATTTAATTATTCCACATTGTACATTATATAGGACTTTGGGCTTGTCTACGTATTACTTTGAAAGCTGAGGTACTACTCTGGTGTATCAGGTTGTAAGTCTAACGCTCAACTCCTAATTTTGCCTTTTGGGTCACTTAATACCCTGAACCCATGCTGAGATAATATCTGCACTTCACAGTTTATTGATCGATAGGTAAAGAGATGGCATATCAAAGCATAATATAGAGGTATTTTACATTTTTTCCCCTGTGATGTTTAAGACAAGGTTCTGACATAAAGTATATGTTTACTGATTATTAAAGGCCCATTATCATGCCATTAGGCCAAACCCTATTTTGCCTCTTCCTCCTAAGCCCCTGCTTTTTTTAGGGGCCACAATCTTACACTGGTTTGTTTCCCAAAGAAGAGAGGAGTCTACGCTGCCTCTTGTATCTATCTTCTAGCTCTCCCCAAATATCCCTTCAGGTCTGGGTGCTCGGTTATGTTCAATTTGTGTGGCAGAGGCAATGTAAGTGTTCATTAAACCCCATTTCCTTTTCTACTAGGCACAAGCATTTTACTTCCCAGCCACCCCTGCAGTCAAGTGGAACCATGTGACTATACACCTGAATTCAGTCTAAGGGAATGGGGCAAACATGATGTACTCCACTTCTGGGCTGGCCCTGGAACCTCCAACATGTCTGCCACAGTTCTCCCTTACCTGAGGCCCATGGATTGGACAATTACAAGGCAACCGGTGATGGTAGAGCCACAAGATAGAAGCCATGTCCTTCCATGATATCAAGGAGCAGATAGTCCACCCACTGGCCCCAACCAACCCACTATACTTTTATTGACTTGTATGAAACATAAGCCTCTATTGTGTTAAATCACTGAGATACTGGTTTTGTTGGCCTACCCAATTAGCACATCTTGTATTTATCAACAGTGGTAACGTAAATGAAAAGAACCCTTGGACTTAGTTCCAGAACCCTGAAATACAAATCCTGGCTTGACCATTCCCCCCCACATACTCCATGATTAGTTCTAGAATATACTCTATACCCTTTCTCAATTGCATGTCTAGCACATTCTCTTCTTTCTCATTATGGAGCCCTCTCTACTCTTTTGTGCCTCAAGACTTCTGTGAGGCATTCTCTGACTTCCTTCCCACACATATTTATTTCTTTGTTCCTAGTGCAAAGTATATTCCTCCATTTAGTATCTATTACATTTGATTGCAAATATTTGTTGACCTGTGTTTCCAAAGATTGAGTCCTTGAATCCACAGACAATTTCTTTGGGATCTCTGCCAGCAGTTAGTTATAGTGCCTGGCACATAGCAAAAACTAAATATATATTAAAGGAATGATTGTCACCTATGACCTTAAGTGAGTCACTTATTTTTTAAGTCTATAAGATTGTGCAGAATTGTTGTGATAATGAAATAATGTGATATGTAGATTATAAATAGATTCTAATGGTAACATGGTTATTCCATTTTTTAGTCCCTTCTCAAATTCATCTTAATGAATTTTTTCTCAAATTCATCTTAATGCTTCAAGGTAGCTCTGTCCAATAGAAAAGTAACACAAGCCACATATATAATTTAATAATTTTAAAAGTGAAAAACAGTCGGTGAAATTAATTTTAATAATGTATTTATAGGAGTGCCTGGGTAGCTCTGTCGGTTAAGCCACCAACTTCCCCTCAGGCCATGATCTCCTGGTTTGTGAGTTTGAGCTCCTATCAGGCTCTGCGCTAACAGCTCAGAGCCTGGAGCCTGCTTTGGATTCTGTGTCTCCCTCTCTCTGCCCTTCCCCCGCTCACTCTCTCTCTCAAAAATAAAATAAAACATTAAAAAAGTTTTTTAAACAAACTAATGTATTTAACTGTAGATGTACCAAATACTGCTTATTAGCTATTTGGCATTTTGTTAATTCAGTCTTCTAAACCTGGTGTGTGTGTGTTACATCTCTATTTGGACCAGCCACATACTGGGAGTTCAGCAGCCACATATGGCTAGTGGCTCCCGCAAATTGGACAATGCGGCTGCAAGGCCTACTTCAGATAGCACCTTGTCCTTGAAGTCAACCTGAGGATACCTCAAGCAGCATTAGTGACTCCTCCACAATGTCCTCTCAAACCTTCTATCCCTGCTATCCTGAAACCTACAAGTCAAGCTCCTTGAGGAATTCCAGACTGTTGCCTGAGAATTCGCTCTCCCAGCGATTGTCTGGCATACAACGAGCGGTTATTAAATGTCGGGGTAATTAATGAACCTGTGTGCAAAGAACCCCGTGGGAGGCCGAGGGGCCGGGACCGAAAATGGTCAGTCAGGGAGCCGGCGCGGGTGGGCGGCCACCGTAAGCGGGATCCCGCGTCCCCCGGGCGGCGGACGCGGAGATCCCCGGCTCCACCCGCCTGAGCGCTGGGGGGGCGTGGGGGCCACGGTCCGCCCCCGCCCCCTCCCCCACGCCGCCGCCGCCGCCGCCGCCGCCGAGCCCCGGAAGCGGGCGGGGATTTCCTGTGCCCGCCCCACCCGCACCCGGCCGCCGTCTCCGCCCGTCGCTGGCTCAGCGGCCGGCGGCTCCGACGAAGCGGAGGGCAGAGGGGAGGGGCAGGCGGCGCCCAGGAGGGAGGCACGGGCCGCAGGCCAAGCCGACCCGGGTGAGTGGGGCCGGGCCGCAGGCAGTCGCGGCTGGAGGGAGGGACGCCTGGCTTTCCGGGGCGGCGGGTGCGGGCTCAGTCACCCGTGAGGCGGGGAGGAGGATCGACGCGGCCTCCGGTCGCTGCCTTAACCGGGTGGTCGGCCCCACTGACATTCTGTGCCCGGCCTTCGCCCAGGCTTCCCCGTCCCCAGCGTCGCTGTGTGGCCCCGCGGGTTCCCGCCGCTGTCACTCGCGCACAGGTTGCCCCGTGGCTCCTGTCTCTTGACTTGCTCTTGCCCCAGTTCACGGGAAACCTATTTTCTGACCTCGCTTCGCCTGCCCCGACTCACCCTCTCTCGGAGTCTCTGAAATCTGACCCTCTTCAGGGGCACTGTGACAAGAAGGGAAGAAGCAACCTTACTCCTGAGCAGGCGCCCGTCCCGCCCATGCCCCACCCGGGGCAGAGGGCAGGATTCTCTGACAGAACGAGAGAGATACGTCCCCGTGCCCTTGGGCTACTCATTTCGATAAACCGCCCTTTCCCTATTCAACAGCGCCCGCTGCAAAAACTTCTGCAGGTGCCTTGACCCCCGGATATGTGAGGAAAAGTGAGAAATGCAAGCCCCAGAACCTGGACTCCAGTAAGGCCTGGGAACATCCTGGAGCCAGAAGAAACCTGCTTAGGGCTAACACCTTAACTGCCCAGGTGCGGACTCTGACTGAGTGAACATAGTAGGAAATACAGTGTGAGGATAAGTACCCAACCCATTGCTGCTGAGATTTTTGCCAGCACTTCCACAGGTTTTCTGTGGAAAGTAGTCTTCAGTAGTCTGGGGAGGCTCACAGCCCAGTAAACTCTGCAGAAAGAGGCTTCCCATCAAGGGACTGTGCTGTTGGGGAGATGGAGAAATGAGTTTGAGGCAGGTGTCCAGATAGTAGCTGTAGTTAAAGCCCTGAGGGAGGATGTTCAAAAGGAGCTTGAGAAACAAGGGAGACCTCCAGTGAAGAGAGGGAACTGGCACCTTAAATGTTAAAAATGAGGCAAATACAGGGGCTGGAATTCAGAAGAGAAAGCTAAAATGGAAGTTTCCCTTTATTGCTTTTTGGGAATTTTCCTTTCTCATGAGAAGTCTCTGAAAAGGAAACCTCCTAAGCTGGGAATCAGTCCAGGATGCTCCCATGAGGCCCTGAGACTTCTTTGGACTTCTGAGATGAAAGGGTAATTTGTTCCCTTCCTGCGCGTTGGGCTTAGGGTTGCCACTGACCTCTTTTGTCAAAGACAAATAGGCAAGAAAATAAACAACTTGACATCTGTCATTACCTATCCTGGGCTTCTGGGTTCTTGCAAATGTTATTGAATGGGTATGAGTGAGCCAGGATAGTTCACCAAGGTTCTGACCTGTTTGTGGAAGGCTTTCATTGGCTCTGACTGCTGGGATACTGAATAAAAATCACCCCCCACACACACACACACACAATGATGTTGCCAAGCAGGACACTGTGTGCTGTCTCATAGACTGTTTCTCTGCGAGGAGGCAGGAAAGCCCTTGTCGACAACACATGAGACCTGTCCTGACTCCTAAGATGTCCAGAGAGAAGAAAAGCCCACAGCCTGGTCCTCTACACTACAGGATTATTGTTAAGAATTTTTTTTTTTTTATCTAACCCAAATTCTCTTCTCTTGCAATCAAGAGAATAGATGTGTACACAGAGATAGAAACCACTTCTCTTTTCTCCTAGATAGGAGAAAACTGTATCTATTGTTTTTAACTTTTCCCCAATGCCCTAGTATTTCCCATCTCTTTCTCCACTTTTGTTTCTTCTGATGGAACATACTCTGGCTTGTTCATACTCTTCTTTAAAATTGAATATATTTTTCTAGTGAGATCTGACTGGATCTTTCCTGTCTCAAGTGTTTTCTTTTGTCTCAACTCATAGGATTGTTAATTCACCCTGAGGCCATATTAGCAGCAACTATTTCCCCCTTTATCCACTTTTGGTTCAAACACTTTCTCTTCTTTTTTACTTTTCTCAATTAGACATCAACTTCTCATTGACTAACAATTTCTCCTATCTGTTAGGGTTGCTTGGGAGTTTTAACCCCTGCTTTCTGAGTAATTGGTCTTTGTACCACATTTATTACCAGTTCTCATTTTCTGCATCAGAGTGAGAGGTCGTGTCTCTTTGTTGAGGCTCAAGTGAGGTGTCATTTGGTTTAGTCTCTTAAAGGAGGTGTGTACTCCTGACACACACACACACACACACACACACACACACACACACACCCCTCACCCTTGGCTGGGACTTCTGCCTATAGTAATCATTTCATTCTGAACTAATTGGTGAGAATGGGATTTGTGGCAGAAAATCTTGTGACTATATCCATTTTTGTTGAATGAAAGTCAGTGCACATTCCTTCCTGCATGTGTCCAGATTGCTTACTTTATTGTGTTTTCAGTGGTTGAAATTCAATGGAATTGGAATCAAAGCTTTTGAATTTCCAGGATTGTTTTTTTTTTTTCCTTAAATGAAGTTCTTCCAGCCAGCAAGGATATCTGTATCTATCATGAGGTCCCCAAAATAACGGTTAATGACTGCTATTTATTACCTGCTCATTTCCTAGTTTCTCCAAGAAGCTTGGCCCAGGCTCAGTTGATTGGAACAACCAAACTTTTAAAGTTCATCTTCCATCAAGTTTCTCTTACCCAGTTTCATCTTTTATCCCTAGGGCTGTTTTCCATAACTCCCTTAGGAATATTACCCCTTTACATTTTTAATGGGCACAGCTGATAATGAATTTGTTTCAGGTTAAAATTTGGGTTTGCAGCAAAAATGCTTTCAGAACAGACAGCAGTCCTGGGGACAGGATGGGAGTCAATGAATGTCCAGCTGGATGGAACAGAGCCTCAGGTGGAAAGGGGAAGCCAAGAAGAGGGATCATGGAGAACAGCACCAGGGCCACTAGAGCACCTGTGCTGTGACCTTGAAGAGGAGCCACAGTCCCTTCAGGAGAAGGGTGAGAGCCTGGAGGGTGTCTGTGTGAGTGTTTGGGTAGCTGGAGAGGAAGTACAGTGCAAAGAGTAGTCTCTTAATCTCTGTTGAAAGTAGAGTTAAAAATCCCCAGATTGCCATGGATTGAACACCATAACCAGTACCAGGACTAGTCCATTCTTCCTGGGCCCTGGTCACAGGGATATAAGGAGGTCTTGAGTTCTGTAAACCTTGAAACTGAATTTTTCCCATTTCTTGCATAATCACTCCTGCACATGCTGCAAGTGCATGGTTAGTGGTACTGTATGTGGGAGACAAAGGAAGTGACAACAGCTCTGATTACTGTTGAGAACACACCCAGTGAGATGCACTTTACTAGGTGAAAATTACTTTCAAATAATATAAATTCAAACCACAGCTAGTCCAGTAGAGATGGCTGACATAATAAGTTCTACTAAAAACCATTCAATACCCTTGCAGAATATTTTGAGTAAAGGTCTCTTCCATTAGGTGTATGCATTTGAATTTTATGAGTGGGCATAGATACAGGAAAATGTGACCCTTAAGCTCCTTTAACATGGGGCCCACTCTCTTATTGGGAAAGGGTGGATGGTCCATCTCTAGTGGTTCCTCTTTCCTCTCTTTAGCTCAGTCGGCTCCCTGGGTTCCTGCCATTCCCCAGGAGGGGAGCACCGGAGATTGGGAGATGGCAGCTGCACTTCTTGCGGCAGGATCACAGGTGGGCTGTGTGCTTTCCTTAGCCTCTCCCAGGGTCTCATCACAGCTGTCTTTCTGTAGCCTCAGCATCATCCTATTGATTTGTTATTTTACATGATCACTGATGGTTTCCTCATCTTATAACTGAACAGATTCTTTTGTTTCCAAGGGGCTCGTAATACCCTTGAAAAAATAAGTGGAGGCTCAACAAGAAGAGGGGGACTTCCTAGAGGTTAAGTTGTTTTTAATGGATGGCTGTGCTATCCCTAGAGGGGTTTTAAGAAAAATTTATTAATGTCCTTTAAAAAAAAAACCAGAAATATTAGGAAAAGGTGACCTGAAGGAAGTTTGGAAGAACATAAAATAGGTAGGACTGGGTGGACAATGGAGCATTTATGGAAAAAAAGAGAAAATAGAAAGATGTAAAGAGAGACAGAGCCAGAGAGAGAGAACAGGTTTAGATTCAGAAGGCAATGGAAGAACCATGGAAAGATAATAATGGTAGTAGTAGCTACACTCCCAGAATGCTTACCATACTTGTGGTTCTCTGAATGCTTTATGTGTATTAACCCATTTAACCCTGAGAGAAACTAAATTATGCCCATTATACAGATGAGAAAATAGGGTAGGCTGAGATTAAAGCACTTGTGTAAGGCCAAACTGCTAATAAAGTGGCAGAGCCAGGAGTCATTTGGCTCAAGAATCTGGGCTCCTAGCCACCCTATTATGCTGCCTCAAAAGTTAGGGATATGGCATGATGGGTGGAGAGCAAGAATGTTTTATCTGTGTGATTTTGTGCTGATAGAAAAGGAAAGGTCAAGTGAAGGAAGGAGATGTTAGCACCCAGTTTCTGCAATGAAAAGAGTAAGGCAAGTGGGAAGCACTGGACAGATACCTATAATTAAACAGAGGGAACAATGAGTTTATGGTGCCTCCAACTTCCTATGGTCCCAGTGGGAAACTCCTCAAGAGACATTGTCCTCACTCATTCACTGACCGTTACTACTTTTACCCCTCTACTCATTTACCCTTCACCAAAACAAATACCCTATCTCTGGGAAATTCTCTTTCTAGATGCTCCTGTGCCTCTCTCCTCTACTATATCAGCCTTTTATACTGAGATCACATTTTCCTTAAGGAACAATTACTAACAGATGATGCTGCATTTTGTTTCAGGGCCTGGTAACCATCAAGGATGTATCGCTGTGCTTCTCTCAGGAGGAGTGGCGGAGCCTAGACCCTTCTCAGACAGACTTTTATGGAGAATATGTCATGCAGGAAAACTGTGGGATAGTGGTCTCTCTAAGTAAGCATGATCTTCCTTAGCCATTTTTATAAGATTATTATCTGGGAGGATGGAGTCATCTGCTCTAGAGCTATTGGATAGTGTTTGTCTAGGGTACTTTCCTTGGCTGGCAATCTGTGTAAGGTTTCACCAGAGAAAAAACATTAAGGCTAATCCAAGGAGAATGGAAATGAGGTGTCATTTTTTTAAAAGCCCACAGCAAAATAATTTTGAATTGTAGAGACAAGAACTTTAGGCTCATCTTGGTTGGGAATTGGGAGGTTCTTAGAAAGCAGAGAGAAGAACCTTTAATTGATGGAACTGAGTCCTTGGAAACTCAGCAGCTATATAGGGTATGTTGGGAGTGTGGGGGTAGGACAGCTCTAGTAGGGCTAATTAAGTGAAGCTAAGCACAATTGGGCTAGGAGTATTTGAAATTTGAGTGGAATTTGAGTGGAAGAGAACAGACACACTAGGGAAGAGAATATGATTTTCTAAAAGAAAAAAGAGGGACTTAAGAGAAATCACATGGGGGTTTGGGGAGAGAGGCCTGTATATGGCCGCCTTTTATTTTCAGTTCCAAGGAATAATCTAGGAAATCACTTTTTTCCAGAAGTAGATAATTACAGTTGAACTCATTGACATCTCTGTTTTCCTTTCCCACGGGCAGGATTTCCAATTCCCAAACTGGACATGCTTTCTCAGCTAGAAGGAGGGGAAGAGCAATGGGTCCCTGACCCCCAAGACTTAGAGGAGAGGGACATCCTAAGGGTCACATATACAGGTAAGCACCTACAATAGACTTTCAGCCATTTCCTTCACCCCTCTTGGAGTGTCATCATTATCTGTCCATCTAATCCCTACTCTGCTCAGCGAGTTATGGAGTCAAAAAGTTTAGAGATCTTTGTCTTCAATGGCAAGACAGTGTAGCAGAAAGGTTTAGAAGGCAGGCTCTAGAGCCAAACTTTGTGGATTTGAATCCAGGACCACACCTGGGGGACCCTGGAAAAGAAATTCACCCTTCTTCGGGCTCCTCATCCATGTATTATTGTGAGATTTAAGTATGTTAACATAGTAGAACAATACCAGGCACATAATAAGCACTCAATAAATGTTAGTTGCTGTTGTTGTTATTGTTGATGTTATTGTAAATGCTTCCACAATGTCTCTAGTATTGCTGACAGGTGGTCACTCAGCCAGTGAGGATTTCAGCACATTTCTTAATTCTCTCCATCTATGCTTATAGTAATAAATAAATAGCAACAATAGCATAGACCATTTACTAAGTGCTCACTATGTACAGGTACTATAGTATCTATCTCATAACAATTATCCTATAATTATTACCATTTTACAGAAGAGAAAATGAAGGTTTACAGAAGTTAAGTGGGAAAGCTGAGATTCAAAATTGGGTAATCTGCTTCCTAAGCCTAGGCTTTTAACCTCTGCACCTCTTGCACTGTTTTATACAACATGAGAACCTGTTCTCTCAGCCTTTGTGGCATGAGGTTTAGGCCCTAACAGGAATCATAGTACCTCACCTATGACTTGGGTCCTGGGGTACTCTCTTGTGACTCCCCTCTTGGGGTTGGTATTTTCCCTTCTCCACAGGAGATGGAAGTGAGCACGAGGGTGATACCCCTGAACTAGAAGCAGAACCTCCCAGAATGTTATCTAGTGTGTCTGAAGATACTGTTCTCTGGAACCCAGAGCAGGATGAGAGCTGGGATTCCATGCCCAGGAGCTCCAGAGGAATGCTCCTTGGTCCACCTTTTCTTCAGGAAGATAGCTTCTCAAACCTTCTATGTAGCACAGAGATGGATTCCCTGTTAAGACCGCACACATGCCCCCAATGCGGGAAACAGTTTGTGTGGGGCTCCCATCTTGCCAGACACCAGCAAACACACACTGGGGAGCGGCCCTACAGCTGCCTCAAGTGTGAAAAGAGCTTCGGGCGAAGACATCACCTGATCCGGCACCAGAAAACCCACCTACATGACAAGCCCAGCAGGTGCTCTGAGTGTGGCAAGAATTTCCGATGCAACTCCCATCTGGCCAGCCACCAGAGAGTGCATGCGGAAGGCAAATCCTGCAAGGGCCAAGAGGTTGGAGAGAGCCCTGGGGCTAGGAAACGGCAGCGTGCCCCACCAGTGCCAAAGTGCCATGTGTGCACTGAGTGTGGGAAGAGCTTTGGCCGACGGCACCACCTGGTGAGACACTGGCTGACCCATACTGGGGAGAAGCCCTTCCAGTGCCCTCGCTGTGAAAAGAGCTTTGGCCGTAAACATCACCTGGACAGGCACCTGCTGACCCACCAGGGACAAAGTCCCCGGAGCAGCTGGGACAGAGGGACGTCTGTCTTTTGAAATCTGTTTTTGCTGCAGCTGTGGTCACATCTATCATCAGCTGGTGCTACCAGGAGTCTCTCCCAGAGCTGCCCTTCTCCTGCACCCCAATGGCCAGAATTGTGAGCCCTGGCTCCATCGCTAGATGGAGGTTCCTCATCCAAGATGAGGTTCCAACATTGGCCAGACATTTCTCACCAGTTCTTTGAGATACCACACGAGAGGAGTTCTTTGGGCAAAATTTTTAGGAAACAGTGCCTACTGCATGAGCTGATATTCAGCCTAAGCCCATTCTCAAGGGTACCACTTGAGAGTCAGCAGTTTATTACTGATGTCCAAGCTGAGTGGTTGGAGCCTATGCCATCCCAGTTAAATATTTCAGTACCACCTTTGTATACTATAACTCTTATATTCTCTCTGTATAGAGAGAGAAAGGCCATATTAGCATATTAAAGGCTCTGAGAACTTATGGGTACAGGGAATTGTTAAGCCTCTTTTAATGCAGTGTTTCCTAAATTTATTTGACCTCAGTATCCTTTCTATCTTACATCCCACAGAACTGGTGACTCCATGAAACACACTCTGGTGAACACTGGGTTAGAGAGCAATGAGGAAACAGGAAAGAGATAGTGATCAGGTACCCAGGGCCCCCCTTTTTTTTACCAAATGAAAGCTGAGGGACAGACCTCATTCCTGTGTGGGTCCATCACCCTTAACCAGATCATCCAAATATACATCCACACCTCTTACCTCCACCTACTGAAAAATAGAAACAAGAACTTTTTCACCCCCCATTCCTACTCCCTTCATCCTCCTCATACATATATCCAGCTGAGAGATCACCCCACAATGCTAAGAGATGGACTTATATCCCAAGTAACCCAGGCCCACACCGAAGAAAAAAACTTTATCCCCTTGAACAGACCCCTCTCCTCTTGACTGTGTCTTTATGTGTCTATGTGTATCTGTGTGCAGGGTCTTTGAATTCAGAGAGCATGCAAAGTGCAAACTGTACAAGCTAGATTTTCTAGGGGCTGTTTTCTGAGGATGAGGGTAGTAGGGATTGTATGGGAGTTTTTGTTTTGTTTCAAGATAGGAAGTAAGCTGAACAATTAAGAGTGCCCTCATGGAAAGGGTTAAGTGATGGGTTAAGTTGTGGAAGTTGAGATATATTGTCTTTCCTGGTATTAGTGAGATCAGGACAACTGGATATGTATGTCTAGGTCTGACTCTCTGGGCCACAGATTTTTTTTTGCCTGGGAGGAGAAAGAAAGACCCATCCTCAGTGAGGTGAGCTGTTTCTTATTGATTTCAAGTAAGTTGCATATAGAAGCTTTGTGCTAAGTGGGTTTCTTTGTCTTGTTTTAGTGCTGGGAAATTAGGGCAGGAATCACAGTGCTTGCAGGTTGTTGTCATCACTCTTATTTGACCTTGATTGCCTCATCAAGGAGACAGTTTTTCTTGAGGATCTCATTCTCCCAGAACTTTAGGGAAAATGGCTATGGTTTAGCTTTTCAGCTGATGCAGAGTAATACAATGGGTTTTCTTCCCAATTCTGGGCAAGTACCCACACTAAGACTCTTAACTCCAGGACTTGCATAAGTATTCTAGCATATGTTGATTGATAAGTTGGTCATTGTTTTGCTTTATTGATAACATGTTAATACCAATCTTATAATTTAAAAATTATCTTGTATGTAAGAGCAGTTTGGGGTTAGGGAGAGAGAGGAGCAAAGCAGATGAAAGTGGGGGTAGTTTCTCTTTAATGCTTAGACTCTGGTTTGTCCTTAACACACTTATTCCTCCACCACAATTGGTGGAATTAACTAGAGAGGCAAGAGGAAGCAAGCTGCAACAATCCAGTTTAATGACTGTCCCATTTGCTTAGGAAAAACTGGGTGAATCTCAGCTCCTCAGAGGTCTAGACCCAAATGGAGCTGAAAATAGGGCCATTTTGTTGACTGGACTTCTTAAAGTGTATATGAGTTGAGCAGCCCAGCCCCTGCCTCCCTTCTGCTGCTCAGAGCAGCCTTCCTTCTTTGCTTGGAATGTACTTCTCTTGCGTATGTTCCTAGTAATAGAGCAAAATGGCCAGCCCTTTAAAAGGTCCTCAGAGACAGGAACATTTTAGGATTAGTATTAGGAGATACCCCAGAGAATAGGAGAGTATTGGATTCCAGTGGTAAAACTGGACTATGCCATTTCTTTTACCCTCCCACTATGCCTCATTCATTAATGCAGATCAGCTCTATGTAAGCAATGGTTCAGAACCTGTTTTGACCATAGATCCTTTTGAAAATCTGATGAAAACCAGAAACTCACTTGTTGAGAAAAACAGACATTAGCAATTCACTCTGTTTTATATATACATTTAGCAGGTTCATAGCCTATCCATGGAAACAGTAAACTGGGATCATAGGGAGTTACCCTGACCCAATATGGTCATTATATATCTGTGTCAAGAATTACAACGCAAGGATTATGAAATGTTTTAGGGACTAAGATAGTGGAGGCAATAGGGGATAAAGACAGAGTCTAATCTTTAATGACACGAAGAATATTGCTTACATTCTACTCAGTGTTTTTTTTTTTCTAAAAGATGACATGCTGACAAATTCAGTTCCTCAAAAACTTTGTTTTAAAGACTTGTGGGGGGTGACTCCCTGTACTATCAGATTACACCTCTTAATAACCAAATGTTAACCTCCAGCCTTTGATCTGTTTTAGTAAATGTAAGGAGAGCAACTGAAGCCCCCAAAGTGTGGAGGCAGTTATAGTATCCAAATGAAAGATATCATGGAGTCTAAGAGCCTTCTGCAGAAAGGACATCCCTGTAGGTCATTTTGATATGCCACTATCTTCTCTACCTCGGTCCAACACCACTTCTCTTGGATGAAAAATAAAAAAAAAAAAAACAGCCATCAGATGGGTGAATAGATTTGAATGATTTTTCCCACTGAGGGAATCAGTCTCAAACTCCCATCTTTCTCCCAGCTTGCTTTACCACATGTTCACCCTGTCCCCTTTAAATAAAAACCCGTCTCTGTGTTTTCTCTGGGGAAATGTAAAATGGGAAAGTCCATCTTCAGGAACCTGTCATCTTTTCTTTCTGTGGTACCTCTACGTGTTCAGGGCCCAAGTGTCCTCCCCTTTCTACTCCATCAAAGTATGTCTGCAAAGAATCCCTTACACTGGAGGAAATAACTTAAAGTTTTAGCTTTTCCCAGAGTTATTTACATTTTAAGCCTTAGCTCTGATAGAAGTGGAAAGAAAAGTTTCCCTTGTAAAAGTGATGTTATGCCTTCCAGGAGCTAAAGGGTGATAATTTGTGACAAAGTCCTTTCCTTTCCAGCACTTCAGCAACTCAAACCACTGTTTCCTTATTTCCATCAAGGGCAAGGCGAGCCCTGACTCAGAACCAGAGATGCCAGAAGACATGTTCTTTCCATCTCAATTCAGATGAATGCACTGGATGGGGATTAGTGGGGATGAGCAGTAACAGAAAAGTGAAATCTATTCCTGTAGACCCCTTAGAGATCCTGAGCTGGCAAAATTCCCTTCTGTTCCCTGGAGTACTGTATTAGGCCTTGGGTCACAAAAGGTGGTCTCTGAACCAGCAACATGGACATCACCTGGGAACTTGTTTTAGAAATGCAAATTCTCAGGCTCCATCCCAAACAAACTGAATCAGAAACTCTGAGAGTGGAGCCCAGCAGTCAACCTTCACTTGCCTTCCAGAATATATGATGTATGCTAAAGTTTGAGAATCACTGGCTAGGAAATTCAAATTCCACTTCAGTCAGTGGTACCTCACCCTCTTCTCTTTAAATCCTTGCTGCCAGATTTATTTTCTGCAACCCCTCCAGGCTAGTTTCTCCTTAGTCCTGATTCCCTTGAGTCCCACGGTCTTCCCACACCCTTAAATCGGTGAAAGGACTGGGTGAGGCAACAATTTTAGAAATTGTTGGGGGGCAGCTACCATTGTGCTGTGACTGACTGGGGCTTAAAGCTTCTAAAATGGGCACTGAGGATTCATGGGCCCAGAAATCTAAAAGGATATATAAGAGCAGATACCTCAAAGAAGGGAAATCCAATGTAAAACTGAAAAACCACCATCTAAGGAAATGGTCCTCCTTTGCTAGTTAGCTGGTCCTTCTCCTGACCTAATAATTAGTTGCCCTGGAGGCATGCAAGGTGGACATTTAGCACAGGATAGAGGGTAAGGCCACCTCCTTAAGGAACCAAGTTTTCCAACCTCACGATTGCATTGGAGACCAATGAGGTACCATGCAAGGGATTTCTAACCATGAATTGGCATACCCTATGGGCAAGGGCAACAGAAGTATTGGGACTCCCCAGGACACAAGAAAGAACCAGGAGCATTTAGTAATATGTGACAGAAATGAGATTTGAACCCAGACTGTTTACCAGGTAGAGTTGTAATCAATTAAACCGTGGAACCTATGTCAAAAATGCATTTCCTGCATGAAGATTCTGTCCAGTTCAGGCTGCAGGAAGGGATCTGTCTTGCAGGCCCTGGTCCTGTTACCTCTAGGTCCTCTCCTAACCAAACTCATGAGGACAGGCTGAACTGACCACCCCTGTGGGGCTCTCCAAGGTCAAAAGATTGGAGTGAACCTAAGTCTTTTTGAAAGTGATCAGCTCCTCTCCCCAAGGAGAGGCTTAGCTACAGTTTTCTTCAACTCCAGGCTTCAGGGTCTCTCTCTCTTGCTTTTCCAGTCATTGCCTTCATTTTCCCAATCAATGGAGCTCCTCCTCCACTCTTCACTCCTATTTCTCTTTTTCAGTTGGTTTGGTTTAGTAGTTTTGTTTTGTTTTGCCTGGGGAATGCCTCACCTTCCCAAGGATATATGTTCTTCCTAATCCCTATCCTTCTCTTTCCGTCATAGTTACTATCTTTAGGTTTCTAGCCAGTTCTGCTCACCATGAGCCCCCCATCCCTCTGCCTGTTGTTCAGTTTGTCAGCTGTAAGCCTACAAGCAGGATCAAGTACTCATACTTCCCATTTTCTTCCCTTCAATCCTTGGCTTGGCTCTAGCAGCTCAATTGCCGTCTCACCACTCTGCATCTCTCTCTCTCACACCCTTTCCCACATCCTAACCTGGCTAGGAGGTTGTCCATACTGCCAAGTCCAGGCCCTCTACTCAATTCCCTGCAGGCTCTTCTTCCCTGGATTCAGCTTCCAAAGTGGATTTCTACTTTTTGCTACTTGAATTTAGTCAATCTCTTCCTGTCTTCTGTAGTTCCTGAGTGTCAGTCTCAATTTTATAAGCCATTTTTGGCAATCTCACTATGTGCCAGGTACTAGCTCTTCCAGGCCTGGGAAATCAAGTGTGACCATGGTCCCTGTACTCAGCGTGTTCCTCAGCTGAGCCTTCCCCTCGTACCACCTTCCTGCCATGATACTGCACACCAAGGCACCCTGTTCCAGGAGGTTTTGGGAGTCTATGCCCACTTGCTATCCAGCCCAACTTCTCTGTGCCTGCTAGATTTCTAGCTCTTGTCTGACTTGGTTCCCTCTGATGGACTGTGAATTTCCCATGGGGTTACCCACTGGGGACCTTTGTCTGTATCCTTAGGGGTCTCTAATATGCTCCCTAATGTCCCTGTCAGTTGGATAAAGGTCTTATTGGCTGTGTCACTGATTTCCTCTCTTAGTTCTCTCCTCTCCTCTTCCCTCCATTCTCAGCTCTTCCCTCATGATCAAAAGGTTGCAGCAGAGTGGGGGACACCAGACTGCTCTGGGGGGAATCACAGTCATGCGTGAGCCCCTTCACTGCTCCTCCCCAAAACATAAACCTTGAGATGCCACAAGTTAGGCCTCCCCATCTCTCTCTTGGTATCCTGGATTCCAGATGTCCCTCCCTAGTCAGCTGGTCTTCACCTAACCTGGAGATGGGGAAAGCAGATTGCTGAGCAGGACTGGACCTAGGCTAAGGCAGGTAAGGGTCTAGGGAGAAAACTTAAGAAGGCCCTCCATCTCAGGGTTCATTCAAGTACTGACCCTGCTCTTGGGAGACCCTTAAAGTGCTGAACCCAAGTCTGGAAACAGGTGATGGTGGTGACTATGAATTGACCCCCTAGGCAAACTTAACAGTAATTGTAGATTTGGTGGGGGGAGCCAGAGGAGGCATGCACATATGGGGTTAGTCAAAAAGTGGGTCCACCAGACATACTCACCCTTGTGGGTAAAGAGGATGGCAAAAGGTATCAAGAGAATAAAGTAAGAGAATAAAAATAGTGTGGGGGTAAACATGGGAAGCTGGCATGGACACCACTAGCCTCTGATCCACTGCCACAACATCCCGCCTGTGGAGCTTCATGGGACATGGGGAAGAGGGGAAGGAGCCGCCCCCCAGGCCTTGAGTGTATCCCAAAGACTTTGCTCTTCCTCCATGGGAGTTGCCATGGAGCTTCAAGCCTACTGTTTAGGGGATGATCTGCCTCTGCAGCTTTCTGAACACCAGCCAGGCTGTATTGTCACCTGCCTCAATGCTTCAGGTTTCCCTATTTTGTGTTCACTCTTACTTCCCACAGTCACTTGGAGTAATACTCTTGACAAGTCTGGTTTTTCTCCTAAACAGAAAGGGAGGAGGGAAAGAATTGACAAAAGGGGGAGGAGAAACACAGCTGTGATTGTTCACAGAGGACCCTCTTCTTTCTGTCAGTTCCAGTGGTCTATTGAAATCCTGACTTCCTCTCCTTACTCTCCATCAGTGCCTTTCCCAGCCTCATCCATGGCTTCATGTTGACCCCCCACCCCCACCCCAGTCTTCAGTTCCTTTCTTCCAAATCCTTTGGCTTTTCTCTTTTTCAGATTCCCTCTCTGACATGGTGCCCTACATTAATTTCCCAGAATGTCTTCCTGTCCTTGCTAGGCATTTCCAGCCCAACTACACTGCCTTGCCATCTCAGAGCTCCCTAGAGGAGGGGGGACAGTAGAGAGCTACGGCATTTCCAGCCCAACTACACTGCCTTGCCATCTCAGAGCTCCCTAGAGGAGGGGGGACAGTAGAGAGCTACTGCTTTGAGACCACTGACAAATGGAGATGCTTGCATGTTCTGAAAACACACACCCTACAATGTGTTTGAGAACACTTCCCCTTGCAAAACAAACAAACAAACAAAAAAACCCAAACACCCTCTAAATTATTAAAACACTCAGTGTAGAAATGAATCCTAACTTCTGATATGAAACTACATTGAAAAGATATCTTGGAGAGTTACTGAGTGGATTCACAACTAGAAGTCAGTTTCTAAAGTACATATTTTCTAAACATTACCTTTTTACTTAAGATCGAAGAGATTGAGGTGAAAATGAAATTAAATATTCATGTAAAAGTACAAACCACCTTATAAATGAAAAAGCTATAAATAACAACTACATGGAATCTTCTACCTTATTTTTGAACATGTTACAATTTATATGATTTTGAAAACAAATACAAAAAAAGTAAGAGTCTCATTTCTATGTATCCTCTACAATTCCCATCACCCTCCCCTCACAGTTTTTTTGTGTGCATCTTTCCAGAATTTTATACAGTTATGAAGAGGTATACTTTCCTCCATTTTACACAAAAGGTAGTATGGTATACTCAATGTCCCGAATTGTCTCTGGGAGCTTGTAATAATGCATTGAGAATACCCCCTTTTTATAGCTGCATGCTATTTCACTTTATGGAAGCTTCAGTTTAACCAATCCCCTAGTAAAATTTAGATTATTTCCTTTTCTGTTACTGCAGTGCCACCCTGAATACCTTGGACATAAGTCTTTTCACAAATGCATTTACGTCTGAAAGATAAAGTGGTTCTGCTGGGTCAAAGGATATTTGCATTTGTAATTGTAAAAGAGAAATTTCCTCCATTTACACTCTCACTAGTGTTGTGTGTGAGTGCCTGTTCCCCCACAGCCTTACCGATGGAGTAGGTTCTTAAAACCTTTGATTAAAAATGTTATTGTTTTAATGTGCATCTCATGAGTAAAACTGTATCTTTTTCATATATTTAAAGGCTATTTGTATTTTTGTTAACTGTTTTATCAACAACCATTGACTAGTTGATGCTAAAGGGCATCTAAGCTTTGTTACAACTCTAAAGTCCAACAATTTTCTGATCATCATCATCGTACCAGGCAGTTGAGATAAAAGGAAAGCATTGAGGTCAGGGATGTTCCATTTGCTCTAAGTTAAAAACCCAGGGGCGCCTGGCTGGCTTAGTCGGTTAAGCATCCGACTTTCGCTTAGGTCATGATCTCGCGGTTCGTGGGTTCGAGCCCCGCATCGGGCTCTATGCTGACTGCCAGCTCAGAGCCTGGAGCCTGTTTCAGAGTCTGTGACTCCTCTCTCTGACCCTCCCCTGCTCACGCTCTCTCTCTCTCTCTCTCCTAGAAATAAATAAAACATTAAAAAAAATAAAAAAAAAAAACAAATATGCCATTAGAGTGTGAGCTCAAAGTGGGGATTATGCTTTATCCATCTTTATTCAGTAAATTACCCAGAATCTTGCAGGCATTTAGTCATTAGTGAACACTTGGGATGAGATTATCTATTCTTGGGAATTCCTGTCACAGAGTTACCCAACTAGCATTATGATCTAGATAATCTGGATAGCTTGCCAATGAGTAAAGTCATTTCCTACATTTCACTGGAGTACAGCCACCCTAAAGCTTATTAATGAAAGATAATCTGAGATGACAATTGTTAGCTCTTACAGTCAGGATCTGACACTTAATAAATTCGATAAATTTACTGACAGAACTGTGATGGTTCTTAGGAAATCTAAAAAAAAAATTTTGCTAGTGTTTTCCATCCCATTTTAGGAGAAAAGGTATCTAGTTTTAGATCATCTGATTCTTTATGTAAAAACTTGCCAGGACTATAAGGGCCCCTGGGTAGCTCAGTCGGTTAAGCATTCAACTTTGGCTCAGGTCATGATCTTAATGATTTGTGGGTTCAAGCCCCGCATTAGGCTCCACATGCTTGGGATTCTCTTTCTCCCATTCTCTGCCCCTCTCTGACTCATGCTCTCTCTCTCAAAAATAAAAATAAAAAACTAAAACCTCCCAGGACTATAAAGGGGCAATACACCTAACTCTCACAAAGACATCTGATTAATTTTGTTTTAATTGTGTTCAATAGACAGTGTTTTTCACTGCCTCTTTCCAGATGGCTCCCTATTCTCTGATTCTGTTTGCTTCATTCTGCTACTCACAGACAATTTAGGAACACAATGAACCTAATTACAGCAGGTGGAAATTTAAAAGTTCAAGCCATCTATAGATGAGATATACTGCAAGCATTTTACTATTAGCTGTGCATAAGTTTAAAGTGGTGTGATTTTTTTTTTTATTTAATGGTGTGAGAGGGTGATTATTAGTATCATGTAAGCTTTCTTTTCTTCTTTTTTGGGTTTTTTTTGTTTTGTTTTTTTGTTTTTGTGTGGTTTTGTTTTTTGTTTTTTTGTTTGGTTTTTTTTTTGTAAATACACATACCCTGTTCCCCCGTGTAGGAGATACCAGACTCTTGGCAAAAGCTTGGTCAGGCACACTCTGAAAAAGCTCCCCAGGTTGTTCCAATACCTTCCCACCTACCACCATCACTCTTACCTCTTTTCAAGAATAAAACGCACCTTCCCAGTTGTTTCCTTTTCCCTATTCCTTTGGCATCAGTTGGAAACAGCAAATCATTTCCCTGAACCAGCTACTTTAATGTTTACTTCCCTAGGGACTATTTCTGTGTTCTGTCACGAACTATGGCATGAGAACTACTCCCATGCTGCTCTGAACCTCTGCATTCAGAACTAAAAGAAATCATACATTTGCTCCATATTTGATATATAGTGTTCAATGCCTGTTGTTTTTTAAGAAAAGCAAAAGACTTAGCTATTCATTAGTTAGCCTTTCCCATCTCCTTATATTTCTGGTATGCATACTATAAATCTTTTCTGGTTTATTTATTTTTTTTTGAATTCTATAAAAATCTTAATAATATCCTTTCTTATAGTTAGTACTTTCCAAGTTGATAATTCCCTTACTGAATTTTGGCAAGAAAAGCCTATGTCATGATATTTTAAGCCCTTCTTATTTTACTAACACTTAAAATCACCTAAAATCATCCTAGCCCAATTCCAACTTTTTTTTTACAGAGAAGGAAAACCAAGGCTATATGAACAGGTAAGTACAACTCAGCCAAGGTCAGAGTGGCAGAACTTTGACTAGAATCCTGGTCTCATTAAGTACTGATCCTGTATAATTTTCTGCTATAGCCATTATTACATCATCACAAATTATTTATACTCATTGAACTCTCAGTAATGAGCACCTACCCTGTGCCAAGGTCTGTACTAGATGCTGTCACACTCTCATTTAACTGAAGATTAACAAATAAGACAAAGTTTTAAAATTAAAATTATCAAGTCAAGCAAACACTACAAACCCATTACAATTTTGGGAGAAGGGACTTTTTCCTAAAAGGAATTTCAATTAAGAACACTTTGGACCAGTAAGACCACTCATCTTAAAGGTTGCCTATTTTCTTGTCCCAGCAATGCCCCCCATTTCTTTCTTCACATGCCCTTCTCCCCAGAATTCAATTTGGATTTGATAGGGTGTCTAATGTTAATTCAATACTTCTATCTAATTTCCTCAAGTTGCCACTTTCTTCTACTTTTCTTTTTTCCTTCTGAAAGGTATTTTCCTGGGTCCTGAAGCAGGAACAGAACCCCAACATCTGTCTCTTCACCCCATATACTTCTGCTTTAGGTCTCACCTCACCACCCACCCTTACCCTTCTGAGTACCGCAAAGAGGAAACAGACACAATGTAGTGGAAAGGTCTTGTATACAGTTTTGTCCACTTCAGTGTGTGAGAGCTGCTCTCATTAGAGCCTAAGGGGAAAGGCATCTGTGCCTGGAGGAAGGGAAATTTCTCCCACATTACAGATACCCCGCTGCATACCCAGGACTTAAAGCTTTAGCAGAAGTCTTTGCGTAAGCAGCCCTTGGGTCGTGGGTCTTCCCCTGACCGCAAAAATTTAGGTCAGTTTTAACCAAAGTTGTCTTCTGGATGGTGCGTTTTACTAGCTTCTCCTGGTCCTGCGTCTTCTCTTCCCTGGACTTCGAACTTGGCCTCTTCTCTCGGGTCCTAGGCCTGATGTCTTCCTTTATGGTCCGACCTCTTACCTGGTTCATCATCTTGGCCCTTGCTCCTTCCTTGGCTTTGGAATGCACCGAGTCCTTGGCTCTTGGCCTGACCTTCTTCATCCTCCTGTTTGCCTTCGTGCTCTGTCTCCATAATTCCCTGGCCTTCTTGACAGCCTTGCGACGCACACAGCGCCTCCGTGGGCTCCGCGGCCCAGGAGGGGTCTTCCTCAAAGAGCGCACACCTCCCTCCAACCTCGGGCATCCTGGCTTTCTCTTCGGCTTTGTAATCTTCCAGACCCTGAAGTAGCCGGAGGCATCATTGCCGCTGACCCGGAGAAACGCGCCCTTAACATCAGACCTGGGTGCTTCACCTGAGTGGCGGCACTTCCGCCGCACTTCGTAGCCAGCCTTTCCGAGCTCCTTCTTGAGAGTGGCAAGAGTCAGCCCTTTGTGAGCTGTGATGGCTCGGAGCAACACCTGGGACACTTTGAGCACCGAGAGAGGACCCCGCCTTGGCGATGCCTTGAGGGTTTTTTCCGTGGCCTGCTGGGGTTTAACTTCAGTGCCTTTGGATTCGCCAGTGGGCACCTCAGCCATGGCCCCGCTCCCGCCTCTGCGGGGCCACTGCTCTGAGCCTCCCCAGCCAAGGCTGGAGCTAAAGCTGAGGCTGGCTAGACCACGTCACAATGGCAGGGCCCAACGGAGATGTTCAGGTCCTAGTTAGGGAGCTGCCAGATCCCACCCAGGTAGAGTGTCCAATGAGATTCCACTTCCTTCTAGGTCTAAACCAATCCAGATCCTCAGCACCTCTGCCCCGGTGAGAATCACCCTTCTGATCCCAGGGTGTGTTCCCCCCACCTCTTATCATCCTACCACTTCTTGACCTTGATATCAACCATTTACTTAAGTTCACTATTTTCTGTGGTCCTGAATACCATCTACCCACATTTCCCTAAGGTGAAAGACGCTGCTCCCAACTATCTAAAACAGGTCATACAATGCCTTTAAAAAATAAATGTGGTAGTCTAGCAAACAAAACCAAACCTAGAAACTCCCACCTTTTCAGCCCACCAGTTAGAGATCTAAGGTCATGTCTCCCTAACTCTGCACTGTAGATTCTGTGCAAGAATATGAAGGAAAGAAGAAACCACGAAACCACTACCCTAAGCAATAATTCCTACATCTGGGAAATTCAGATACCTCATTCAGTTGGATTGGAACAGTCCAGTTTCCAAATAGCCTAAGAACTCTGGTCTAATCATCATTCTTTCACCAGACTTTGCTTTTCTGCTGCTTGTCCCTTTTCTTAGATTGCCCACCCCCCTTTCTCTGCCTAGTATAGCCTTTCAGAGTCCTACAAAATACCTTCCTCACTGAAGCCCCCTCATACTCTTTTGGTCAAATGATTTCTGTCAACTACCACATTAAACTTTTGCAATCCTATACTGCATTTTCTTTATTTTAAATTGATTTGGTACTAGAGGATACAATGTGGCACAATAGTTTTAACAAGAAAACAGCCTAGACTCAGAGCTGGAAGACATGGACACATACCCCAGCTCTTGAACAGCCATGTGGCATTGCTAAATCCCTCCGTATCTTTGGATTTGACTTTTTATGTTAAAAAAAAAAAAAAAAAACCAGGCCAATAATCCTTTCCTACCGATATCACAGTATTATTGCAAAGATTCAGAAGAGGTGATGGTAGATGACAAAGGACTACCCAAATATAAGGCATAATATTAACTTTACTGTGAATGTTTGTGTTCCAACTAAATAAAAAGGTCCCTGAGAGCCAAATAGCCTTTGAATTTCCATGGTCCATGCTGCACTCAACATTATTCTGTATTAAACGCAGCAGGTATTTAATTGAGTCTGTGTAAGCTCCTCTCTGGTGAAGAGACTCTCTCTGGATTGAAAGGAAACCAGAAAATCAGGAGAAAAGAGCAGGAAGAATCTCAAAGCGTTGAAAAGGAAGCTAGTTGCTCAAGAACTTCTTATTTTGGACACAGTTTAGTTGGAAATTATTCAAAGAACACTTCAAATTGCAAAGCATATCCGACTTCTCCAAAGGACATTCACATATATCCAGCAGTCACAGACTAGACTGTGACATAATTTCTCCCAGGAATGAAAGTGCTAGGAAGTAGCTTAGACCAGTGCTTCTTAAACTTTAATGTGTACTTCATAAAGTACAGATTCCAATACATTAGGTCTGAAATGGGGCCAGAGGTTTTATCTTTCCAACAAGCTCCTAGGTAGTTCCATCTGCTTATAACACAACACTTAGAGGGAGTGGGGAGAAGACAATGAGAAAGGGAGTGGCAGGAGATTAGATTGGAAAGGTAGGTTAGGGTGTGAAGGACATAACATAATAATGACACACCTATAAGTAGTCACACAGCAGTGACTACTTATAGGTAGAATGTGGATTCATACCTAAGTCTACTTAATTCTAAGGCCTGAGTTATTAACTACTGAGCTAGGTTTCTTTTTCTCTAAGGTTGATCCTCCCCATACCTTTAGGTATCTCCATCATAGAGCAAGAGGAAGCTTATCTCCACAATCACAGCTCAGAATCAAAAGGATCTACAAGCACTCATTGTACCTTCTCCCAGTCTTTACATTAGAGCAGGGTACTGTGGATCTCTAAAAACAGGAGAGTAACACATCAGCATAGGGACCATGCATCAGTGAAGAGCTGCCAGATGGAGAACCAGAACCACATGGAGCAGGATTTCTCTCATTTGTGTAGTCTTTCATTCTGGCTATACTTCCTGTTTACAGAGGCCAGTGGACATAGGATGGGGCAACCACTAGAGATAAAAAGGCAAAACTGTTTGCTTTGAGAATAAGAGGAAGGTGTATGAATTCTGACCCTCATATCAACTGTCTCCAGGTAAAAATAGATGGGCTGCACACAATGGTATCATCATGATACCATTCTGATCTAATGATACCATGAGAGAAAGACAAGAACCAAATCAACCATGTTTATTGATACCCCTGTGATGAGAAAAGAGGCCAATTAGAAACCTTTGGGAGGGGCTGAAATCAAAGGAAAAGAAATATGAAAGCAAAAGAAAATAAAACATTTTCATTTATATATAACCATTCATTTATACATAGATTTCTATATAAATATACTGTAAGTAGTGGAGGAATAACAAAAAATGAGAGGTAGGAAACAAATGTCCCACCACCTCAGCTGGTCCAGAGGTTAAGAAATCCAGCTAGCTGACAGAAATTTTCAGTTGCACTAATCCCTTGGTGTAACTTTGTTCCTCTTTGGAATATATCTACTTGCCAGCCTTCTTATTCTTATGCCCCAAAAGAAAAAGACCCTTCAGAAAGAAAACAATTTCTTTAGGAAAAGAGTCAGTACAAACCAGCATCATACCTCTAATTGGGAGACACCAACTCCAGCTCCAGCAAGACAAGACTGAACCATCTCTTCCAATTTTAATGGTCTATGATTACAAACCAGAAGTTACCACCTAGCACCACCCTGTTGTGAGAATAGCTCTTAATTTCTGGAAGTTTGGGAGTTAAGGGAGGTGGGGCAGAGGAGGTAAAAGGATACTTGGGAATAATGTTTAGCCTAAATCCTTCTGCTTCAAGTTCCAGAGCAAGATCATAGTGTTCTTTGTTGGTAACCAGACTATGATGGTCATGACTCTGAGGTCTCCAGAGGAACTTGGTTGACTTAGACAGAGCTACCTTTAATTACTATACTAAATTCTAGAACAACAGATTTCATTCATCTCACTCCCTCACTTAGACTTATGCAGCTCTAACTTCATTAAGGATAACTCCATGTAAGGGTATAGCAAAATTTAGTAGGACGCTCTGATCTAACTTCAATCTGTACCTCACTGTTCCTCCTTGATCCACAGACCTGGGGCCCCAAGATTCTAGGTCTCACTCAGTTATCTGCATTGACTCAATTTATCTCTCCCAAAACCAAATGGCATTAACCTGTTCAAAAATATATTATAATTCCCCCACTGACCTTAAACTGTTAGCTGTTTTTCCCCAAAAGACTCCTTTTCTCTCCTGAACTACTCTGTGCCTTGCACTTTAGTGCAAATGACCACACAACAGTCATTTCAGCAAAAAACCCCATGGCTTTTGGGAGGACTAAAGTGGTTCACACAATGAATGCAAAAATAAAATATTGAGCCCATAAAAGCATGGAGACAGACTAGCAATTGGGCATTCATCCTTCTAATCCTCAGCATAATTGTTCAGAAGTGAGTCTAGACAATCTAGATCCAGGTGATCTTACTTACTTGCTAAGGCAAATCTCTTAGCAATTACACAAAAAATAAGATCTGGTCTCCCTGACACCTCCCAAGAAGCTCTCAACACCTACTGTAACACACCCCTTCCCACAAATATAAAATAAAATCTATACTCACCCCTCCAAAAATGACAAGAGAGAAATAAAGGCTTTGGTATTAGCAAAATCCTACCCAAGTTATTTTTCTCACCCAACGGTGCACTATATAAATTAAATTTCTTATAAATTACATCAAGCATCATTAATTGTTAAGTCTTTCCATGAGCCCACAATGTGGGACCTCTAAGAACCATTCTGCTGTTGTCTGTTAAATCTAAAAACTGAACCCATTTCTCTAAGGATTTTTACTTTCAATATGAGGTTTAGGGCATCCCAAGACACAGATAAGCTGTAGTCCCAGAATAACACTACATGCTGGGCATCATTCAGTTCTGTTATAGTAACTCCCAGCCATCCAACCCCTTTGTCAATTCCCAGATTACTGTATAAATGAAGCCAAAGCAGAAACACAGAAAAGGCAGAGTAAGAAATCATTTACCATAGATATGTAACTCTTGTTGTAGTCTGAGAATTGAAATATCTCAGACCTACAACCACTACAGAGAACCTTGTTTCTATCCTAATCTCTGCAAATCTAAAATTCCAGAAAATCCAAATTAACTGAGTAAAAATTTCTTTCCTCCAAATTAAATGGTGTAATGTAAATTTACATGGGCATGTAAATGCCCATGCTCAGGAATACAACCAAGAGCAAGCCTGATTTCCATTCACAATTCACAATACACTTTCTGGAATTATACTGAATAATCTCCCCCAGTTTTTCCTTCAGAACTGCAGTTATAAATATTTCATTTCAAAAACACTTACCTCTCCATTTCCTGGGAATAATTACATCTAATTTTCTATTTTAATCCTACTCGTCTCCCTGGATATTTCTCAGCTTTTGATCCATCTAGGGAAGAAGAGCTACCATTTATTGAAGGCCTATGGGTCAGGTATTCTGTATAAGTTCTCACTAATTCTTTCAACAGCACTAAAATATGGATAATATTATTCACATTTACAGATGACAAGGTAAGTGGTGTACTGAAGGAGAAGTTTGGAATGAGAATTCTCTACACCTTACAGGTAAACCCACCAAGGATTCCTATTCTTCACTTTCCACTTAGAAAAAAAGAAATTGCCACACCAGCTCTTTTATTTTAAGTATTTCACTAATAAAGCTTTGGGAAAGCATTCAGATCCCCCTCTCCTCACTATACCTTCTGCCATACTAGTTATGCCAGTTACCAAT